CTAAGGGAGCCCACAGGAAAGCTGTAGAGGGACTTTATACAAGGGCATGTAGTGACAGGACAAGGGAGAAAGGCTTCAAACTGAAAGATAGCAGGTTTAGATTAGATATTAGGAAGAAATTGTTTACTATGAGGGTGGTGAGACTGGAACAGACTGCCCAGAGAAATTGCAGATGCTCCTTCCCTCAAGGCCAGGCTGGATGAGATTTTGAGCCACCTGGTCTAGTGGAATGTGTACCTGTCCATAGCAGGGGATTTGGAACTACATGGTCTTTAAAGTCCCTTCCAACACCAAACATTCTATGATTCGATGAACTTTATTTCTGCTACCTGTTTTCCTTGCAGGTTCTCACAGGCTCTCTTGTTTGCTTTTAGCCTCATGCCTACACATCCTTTAGCAGTCTGAACACTTTCATTTTCTCCTTAAATATAAGAAACACTCAATGCCCAAAAGCATACACAAAGGGTGTTAAAAGCTGATAAAGGAATCAGACTAGGACTTTGGAGGCAGTATCACTTTACAGTTAGTGAAGAGAAAAAACAGCACAAAAACATCACAGAACTAACTACACTGGTGCAGTTTTCCTGATGCACCTGCAGTAGTGAAAGTCTTTAAATCTGCTTTACTAAAAGGAAGGGGATTTTTTATACTGCTTCTATATGGAAGAAAAAAATAGACATCGTATCTGAGTACCAATATAATAATTTTGGTTTTTAAAATATTCTTCTAGCGAAAGTGTCAACCGAGAACATTATATGCATTAATATGGAAATAGGGGGCTGCAAACTGGAGGAATGCAAAAGTATCTTTAGGAGAAGGAAAAAAAAAAGATCACTGTTGCTCCACTTGTAAACAGAAATACAGAAGCTTGCTCATACAACGTGTCTCTCTCCAGATGAGAGAAAACAGTGGGATTGCTGAGGCTCATGCTGCTTGGAGCACTGCACCTACCAAGCACACATCACTTGTGAATCCCTTGTAGCTTGCTACAAGTGATGAGAATGAGTCTAAAATTCAAATTAATTGTATCTGGTAAGCTAAAATCAGAAGCTATTTCTTACCTGTAAATCTTCATGCTATTCATCCATAAGAATTTGATTAATATAAGTGAATTAAAGAACACAGACTTGCCATTCCTGATAAACTGGTATAAGAATAAAGACAAGTCCAAATGTCTTCTCATATTTTGAAATAAAAGATATTCTGTTTTGCATATATTTTATACTCTACTTCCACCAGGGGAAAAATCAATATCCATCCACTTTTTAAAAATAAATCTATGAAAGTTAATTAGGTTTATGACTAATCCTACACATAAGCAGCATTTTTAATCTTTTTCAAGATGGCAGCTGTACAAGACTCAAAATTTATGCAAAGATTAATCTATGCTGTGAACTCTGTGAACCAAAAAAGGTTTAGTGACTGTATTATGGCAGTACCTAGAGATCTCTGAACTACAGGCAGACAATTTCCCAGGACGTCTGAATGTTCCTAGGGAAAAACACTGGATGTTCTGGAGCAGTGACAACCTAGCCACACCAGTGTGATTGAGGAAAGCGTCATGTTGACTTCTGCTTTGAAAGTGTGAAGGAAGCAGTAACAAAATGGAAACTGACGTTTAGGAGTATGCAGTCCTAACTTCTGTAACTAATGGCGGTGCCCTCATTGACACTCAGCAGGAGTGCAGAGGAAGGCAGGGCTCAGTGCAAATCAGGATTTGTAGCCAAACCACCTTCGTCCAACACCAATGGACCGGGTTTTTTCCTAGTTCCTCTCCGGAATCTTCTGGATAGATAGCAAAGACAACTGTTGATATATAACATTCCATAAACTTTTTACTATTAAAATTATTCCTTGCTTCCCTTCCCACCACAAATGCAGTTTTGCTATTCTGATTTCCCTGAGACTCAGTAGTCTGGAGCTACACCTTCACCTCAACTAGTCTCCCTGCTCCTAGGCATGCCAGCTTTGTGAAACAATTTGTTTGCATTTAGTCTTTTAAGGGATGGGAAACACATGCTACACCAAACAATTCTTGTATGCCAGTGTTTAAAAGACTGTGGGTCTAGGAAAAGTGTTTAGTTTTACTTTCCTCCTTTCATGGAACACAGACCTTAAATCATTCACCACAGCAGTCAAGCATGAAACTACAATAGAGTACAGATCAACTTACTCGGATTGAGCATCTCAAACTAAAGCACAGTGAAAGAAAGCAGCAGCAAGGGTGCACCTTTGCCTCTTCATGTCTCCCAGGACTAGCATTGATTGAAAACTAGTATCTAAACAAAGAGCAAAAGGGTTACTGATATGAAAGGGAGTCCAAGGATGATTCAGAGCGATCTGAGCATCAGTGTCACAGGGAAAGTGATTGTTCTGAAACTCAGAGGTTTTTTCACCAATGTGAAAGTGCTTTTGTTTGTTTGTTTTAAATGAAGTCAAGCTGGTTATAAAGCAGGCCTTTATATAACCCCAGCAACTGCTACAATTAAATGACACACAACTTTCAGGGCCAAGTTCTTTATCCTGCAAGTTGCTAGCTATGACCAAGGAGGCTGGGGACCAATCTCAGCTGCCATGGGTATCAGCAAAGGAGGAATGCTACTATGCACTTCCAAGGAAGAGCTTAGAGTACTGGAGGATTAAAACTTCAATCACTGAATTGCAAGAAATTAATTTAACAGGAAACATTAGAAAGCATGCACTTATTTTAATGGAAGTTTAGGAAAGGTGTATACGCATGTTTTTGTGGGGAAGCTGCCTATTCTGTGAAAGAACTGCTTGCCCTTCGAAAGTTCATAATTAGTAAACCACACCAAACAAAACTGTATGTTCGTGTGATGCAGTTATGAGCAATAAAACCACTGTCTGTGTACAGTCAGAATAAGGAAAATCACTGCATTTATATGGGCCATTTGGCAGTGCTCTCTCAGTTCGCATGTTCTTAGAACAGTCAGATTTTTAAGAGGCACAGGTTTTCATACTTCAAAAAAGGAGAGTAAAAACATTTTATAATACCAAAACCCCCAAACTTCCCTCATCTTTATATTGTTATTTCTATTTGTACAAGGTTCTTTTTTTAAGTAAGTGCAGCAATCTAAAAATTCAAGTTTCTGTGTTCTCCTTTAAGAATTTGTATTTTTGCCTCCCACAAGTGATACTTTGACTCTGTTCTTGATCAGAGTCCACACATTACAAATGCAAGTATGCCAACACACCCACTCCACCTCTCCCATTTTAAGTATTTGCTAGATCTTTGGGTCTAATTTTCTTCACATCATATAAAAACTCCCCTGAAAACCAAGTGATCAAACATATTCCTGCTGTACTCATGGACACTTTTTCAGAGACCTTAATATATGGGGGAGCTCACGATTTACAGCTGTGACATCAGGATCTGTGGTCAGCAGGCAGCAAGTTCAAAGCACCTGTTCCGTTCATTCCAGAAACTCAGTTTGACACCTAACTTTTCACAGAGATTTTTGCAGTATTTTATATCTTCCAATGTCACATACCCTTTGCTTCATTGATTCTAATTACAATTGCAAGGACCAAGAACTTTTCCTAGTCTGCCTTCAAACTGCATCAAGACAAACACTCAAACACCAGCAGTGAGCACTGTTGAGGACTGTACTCTAATTTTCCACGTTTCCTTCCATAGCAGAGATTAAAATAAAATTGACGCAAGGAAGGCATATTAGAGGCCTGATGCTGTTCTTCTGCAAGCAGCTTTGTTTGTTTGAATGTCCAAGAAAATTGATGCCTACGCACTGAACATGTAGGGCTTCTGGGGAAAAAAGATATCATGTCATAATGAAAACTTTGGTTTGACATGCAATTTTGAAAGTTGTTCAGCCTAAAACTAACATTTCAGGAGTGTCCTATTTCGCAACTCTAAGAACATTTAACAACTTGCATCTGTGCTTGTTTCCTTAGAAGTTGATTAACAAAAACTTCACAACTCAAATTCACATTGATCCTTGCACAAACCACCTTGGATCAGAATGTGACTCTGGTAACTTGTGTTGGGAGTGAGTGTAAGATCACAAGCTGGTTGCTCTTCTTCTGTGGTCACTAAGGTGACCAGTGGCACAGAAGGCCAAGGTACACTGCCACTAGATTCTTCCCTAAAAGCTTTGAGGACTCATTTCTGTGCTCTTGGGAAAGCCTGTTTTGCATGTGTCACTAAGCCTTAGCCCTTTCAGTCCTATCCCATCCATTTTCTTCATGGTACGGATTTTCTTTCATTTATTTTTACCTCAAACTCTTCTATTCCCAATTTTGTTTCCAGTGGTTTCTGCTGTCTTGCCATCAGACCTAGTTGCTACAGTCTTACCAATGCTCCTTGTCAGCTCGAATGCCTCTCCCGTCCATTCTCAAGTATTCCCTAGATACTTACACATCTGGTCTGAAAAGCTCCCTGCTCTGAAGGGACAGCGATTGGAATACACTTGGAAAGATGCCCCAGCTATCTGTAGGATCAACCACTGTAGCTGTCTGCATCAGATGAGAAATACAGTTCCCTTCTACCTGAGTCCCAGCCTCACACACCTTTGCACACACCTCCCTTACTTTTGTTACTAGAACGACTCTAGCCCAGCCCACGCAAAATCAAAACCAAGGATAGAAACGCATACACTGAGGGGAAAAAACAAACAAACAAAAACCCAACAATACAAACAACTGAGATACTTTTACCTCAATTTAGTTCATACATATATAAATAATTTTTCAGAAACTCATACCGCAGCCAGACAGGCAGATTTCCATGCACAATTCCTGTCAAAGATCAGTTCTCAATAAACTTTCAAGCCCTCAAGTTCCACATCACAGCTGTCTTCTCAGAGGCAACACACTTCACATCTGCCTCATCCAAATTCAAGTTCTCTTTAGTAGAGGATAAACCATTGTGCAGCTCCTTTGGGAAATTTTAGTCAAAACAACTCCAACAGGCATAAAAACTGGAAAGCTTCATTCCTTCATTCTACACAAAAAGATGCAAGTCAGATGAGGGTCATTTTATTCTGCACAACACTTTATACACAAGAGACTAGAAACATCTTTTTACAAGTATTATTGGTTGCAATGACTAATTTTACTTTAGTTATTCACTTTTCTTCATCCCTGCTTTAAAATAAGACCTCTGTGCTTTCACAAACATTCAGTATATAGCTAAGAATTACACTCAATATTTTTACAGTAATGAGAGCTTATTTATATTAAATTGCAACTAGCAATTTATATTAAATTGCAACTAGCAACTAAAGTTTCAACAAAAAGTTTCCAGGCTCCCAGAATTACTTTCAGATTTGTCAAGTGAAGATTAAGCAACAGCAATTCATGTGATTTCTGGTCACACCATTGGTTAGACTACAGTGCATTTCCCAAGGAACATTAGAAGAGCTTAAAAATGTTAAAATGTATACACGTATTCCTAGAAAAAAAATGAAAGACTAAAGGATGTGGGGTGGGAGAAATAAAATCTTTATTGAAATATTGTATTACCAAGTTTAAATCTAGTAAGATATAAAAAAAATCTTTTTAAGCTTCTCCATAACAATTCCATCTATTTTATAAATAGTGATGTGTGCAAAACTCTTGAATTTTGACTTGGAGAAATAGCTCATGCTGTTGAAACATGGAGAGGAGATGAAATGGCCAGTGCTATTTATTAAAGTTGAGGAAAGTTTTTGTAATATCAGATGTATTTCTCAAAATTACATCTCAAAATACTGTATCAAAAATTATATAGAAGAGGTATGGAATTCAGAAGTGCTGAACAGATCTAACTGAGACAACGAGCACTCAGCCCTGACCCTGCCCTTTCAGCACACTCGTCGCCCGACCAGAGCTGCCAGGGCCCCCTCGTGGTCACGACAGACACGATAATCGGAGTTGCTCTTGTCCCACTGCATCCGCACGTTCTCAAAACAAGCCAAGCCAAGGAAAGCACCCCTGTCACCGCAGGTACACCGAGTGTGCCGACAGACCTTAACTGGGCACAAGAATCTTTCTTACAAGCAGAGACTGCCCTGGGGTTTTCCAACTCTTATGAAAAGCCAGAGACACCTTCAGCATTTTAAGTAAATTACAATTTGTACAAATTACCATATACCATTTGGAAACTCAGAGTCCAAGACACTTCCTGCAACACTGGACAAAAGTTGAGTGCACAGGAAGCATATCCCAGTCCCCAGCCTTCTATGGCTCAGAACTTGATACCATAATGGTATCTTTAATATTTAGCAGATCAAGTTTTCTCTCTTGAGTTTGTCCAGTCTTTTTCTTACACTTGTGAAAGATTTTTGCATTTTTCCTGGGTTAAAAGAGGCAAGAGGTGTTACCATTAGAAGTAGTATTTCTCAGTTCTGCATGTAAATAGATGTATATAAAATGATACTTCCTCTGTAATACTGAAAGACTCAAGCACCACTACCATCTGCAACTAAGGAACAAGGATCAAACAGATTTTGATCAGGCAGAACAGTTGTAAGGAGCTTTCTTATCCCAAAGAATAACTCTGCTCCCCTATTACAGAAGTCATACTACATGTCCTTGCTTCAGGACGGTGTCACAACTCACAAAGCAGAGTGAAAAGAGGAACAAAGTGAGATCAGTGTCACTAAGAAGCAAACTTGAAGTCTAATAAGTTCCTCTTTTAAAGGTCCACATTCAAGCCTGAACATGATCTTGCATTTTACTTGTTGAATGTGGGGCTCAGAAAATTTTTACTTTACCAAAGTAAAAGGCATTCTTACTCTGCCAAAGCCATCCTTACATGATTTATGTCAAAAAAATGCCTTAGGTCATGTTTATCCCCCATGAGTAAAACTGATACAGGTAATTTTGTACCTATTCTTCACTTCTGCTCTTCATGAATTGGACTGTTGTATTTTAAAGTTATCACAGACACTGTCTTGGGAATATGCTATAAATCCATGGATATTATGTAATTACCTACCCAGTTCAGAAAAAAACGTGCTTATAGATCTCCAAGTTAGATCCAAAATGGGAAGTTACATACAGCTATGGTAATTTCCCAAAGGACCTGATTTTCTACACTAGTAAAACCCCCAGAACACTTCTACATTTCTGCTGCTTGTTGCACAACTTTTTCAAACTAGCTCATCTTCAAAATAACCAAGAACTTTTCAGAGATCTGTCTTCAGTGTTCACAATTTAGGCAGCCCAGAATTATATGTGCATTTTAAGCATTCATAATGCTCTCAAAATGGAGGATATGTTGGTGCTGCCTGATGTCACCTTTATGGTATGCTGAAATTATTTACCAACAGAACAGCTGGATCTCAAGCTATCCTACTAAAAAACTTCAAGGAACAAAAAAAAAAACCTGCTTAAGTAGAGCTCAGTTGTTAGGGCACAATAAGGGACTTCATTTCCAGTCACTATCACAAGTCAGAATGACACACAGATATCAGGCTTGAACATGAAGAGGTGTCCTGTTCTGATAAACTGAAATGAGACTTTTCTTTCTTACCAGCTTACTTAGCTCTCCTCTTCTTAAAAACAAAAATAAAAACCTTTCTGCTGACAGTATTATTTTTCAATGTCCACCTCCTTGTACACTGTGAAAGAACATCAATCCATCAATTTATAACTAATAATTCTGTTCAGCAGCAGAATGCCTGAAAGTACATCAACTTAGGACTAACAGTGAACATTTAAGCCCTGTAGCTTGAATATTGGTGCTTTTATTAGTGTTTTCAAAATGAGGCAATAGGTCTTCTAGCAGGAACATCATCAAACTGTCAGGAGTCTTATGGGAGTCCCATTAATATTTCTTCTGAACAGATGATTTAAATCATTATCTGGAAAATACAAGAAGTTTCACTTAGACTGATAAAAGACAGGACCTGGTGACATAATTATCTCTGTGTCTAGAGTGTACAGGGGCTAATTGTTCTAAGTCTTATCATCAGGGAAAACTGTTTATCCACTAAGAGACTGCTGCATATTGCATAATCCAAAAGCATTTGACCATACTAAATATTTTATTAAAATCCACTCTGTTAAGCTTAATATTAGCTCACAGGCCAATCTCACAAAACTACAGTGAGTAACTACAAATTCAGGTACCTCTATTTAGCACAGACTTCTGAGCATCTTTCTAACACTTATAGCAGTTCTTCAGTGTTCAGCAGACATTACTTTATTTGCCAAACAACATCAGACTGCAGAATTGCTCTTCCTGTTGGTAGATCAATAATGACATGGGATAAGTCATTATCTCCGTGGCAACAGAATGGCAGCTGTTGGAGGAATATTGCGCATGGTGCTGCTGCTCCTCTGACAGGCAATGCCTCGGCTTCCTCACACAGGTGCTCTCTCTGCAAGCCTGGTGTGCCCAGGGTACCAACAACCAGGGGCACCTCTTCGACTACAGAGGATTAAACTACAACTGTGGCTGGTTATGTTATACCTGAAAGAGTATAACCTCACAAGGGTTTGTTACACTCGAGTCTGGTGTCCTTGTGTCACTTATTTCTAATGAACCATCCCCTTGTAGAAATAGCTGGGACAAAATTCAGGGAGGCACATACTAGAGCCCTGTTCATAGCTGAATATTTTGTTGAAAGAAAGCATTTAAGTCTTTAAGAATAGAAGGATATCTTTCTTTTTAATCAATTTTGATTTTATTCCACTCTGACTCCCCAGTATCTAAAACTGGCAGGAGTCTTTGATTAAAATGACACAACAGACCACTTGGGCTGTTACACAACACTTGCTATGTCTCTGTATATTGAAACAGCTCAACAAATAGAAAAGCACACTTTTGCTCCTCATAAGTTACTGCAGTTTCATCTAGCACAAAGTGGACACATTTTTCCCCATATTGCACAACCTCCACCATGTTAATCACAAGACATTAACCACAGAAAGCAAACACTTCTCTGTGTCTTTATCAGCATGACTGAGCCTGGCTTGTGATGTTCTGCTGAAATCAAAAATGAACTGACATACAAAATACACAATGTTCATCAGCTACACAACACATGAACTTGGCCTTCAGATTAATTGCATAAAATATTTCTTCATAAATACATCTACTTTCAAATACTGCAGCAACACTTTCATTATTCATAAGCTATTCACACAGGATGACAAAGTGCAAGTTTGGCACAATTCCCTTTGGAACCTGTTCTAATTAAATTTAAATAAAAGGCAACAGAAGTGATGCCTGTGGGTGATTTCATAAAAAATTAAAACAAAGTTGTCACTCAAGCATCATCTCGATACCTCAAGAAACAAAGCTAGGCAAGCAGTCTTCTGAATGCTGAAGACAAGTTGATCTTGTTTGTAAAGCTCTCACAGGAGCAGAACTGGATGGAAAAAGTTATATTCCTTACAAATACAAGTAAAGACAAACGGCCAGACCAAAAGTCTGGATGTTACAGCTGTGATGGAAATTAATACTCAGAAATACACTTCTTGTTATTTGTGAGAGACTGTATTTCAGTACAGAGGAAAACTTTTCAGCGTTTTTCTTCTACTTACAGGATGGGCCCTGTTGCTTTAGGAGACCTCCATGCTCTGCACCAGGTTCTTGGAAAGAACACGGGATCTGCCCAGCTCAGGCACAGCTGGCTGCACACACCGTCTGCAGGACATGCTCCAAATCCAGCACCTCCCTGACTAACGCTGGGCAGTTCTGCCCGTATTCCAGCACCGACTGAACCACCCTCTGGCACGGGCAGCCACCCAGCCCAACCTCGCTCCCACCTCTCCATCCTGCTTCCACTCCCTGCCAGCTGCCCCGGGGACAGACCGGGCTCTGCAAAGCTGCTCGAGTCTCCTCTCCCCGCACTAAAGCCGAGCGTGCAGCGCACGGCTTCTTCCTCAGTGATAACAAATCGCCCGCTTCACCCCATGAAAAAACAAAAATCAACCTAAACAGGGCAGGCAGCTAAACGCGGTTCAGTCGGCCCCTGGGCACGGCCAAAGCCAGCAGGGAGGCAGGGCCAGCCAGCACTTTGCCAGCTGCCCACTTAAAGCCTCCGCTGCCCCAGGGGACAGCAGGGGCCGACTGAAAGGTCTCACCAGCTGCAGCCTCGCCCCGCACAGGGTCCGATGCACCCCCGGCCCCAGGGAGCTCCACCACACCCTGCACCGGCAATGGGCCGGCAGGACAGGGCCCAAACCCAGCGCAGGGATCCCCGCGGGTCCCTGGCGCGGCCTCCCCGCCCCCCGCGGAGGGCACGGGAGGCCTGGGAGGGGAAAGGCGGCCCCTCCATCCCCCGCACGGAGGCCCGGGCGGGGCCGGCGGCCCCTCCATCCCCGACACCGCAAACCGCAGCACCCCCCGGAAGCGGAAACAACCTCACACCGATCACGCGCCCCTCCGGGATTGCCCTATAAAAGCCCCACCCCCGGAGCAGCCTGACCAATGGCGTCCGCCGGGAGGGCGGGATCAACCAATCCGCACTAGATTGACAGCTCCCTCCCCCAATGAGATGGCAGCGGCTCGGACCCCTCCGCTAGGAGGGTGAAGCCGCCGCGGGGCTGCGGGGCGGGAAGAGTTTCGTGGTGTCCTCACGCTATTGGCTGTCGGCGCTGATTGGCGGCTCCTTAGGCCAATCCGGAGGGGCGCTCGGCGGAGGCCGGTCGGTGTCCCGCCGCGGTGCGGGCGGTGCGGGCGGAGCGGCGATGAGCGCGGCGGTGCGGGCGGGCTGGCGGCTCGGGGCAGCCGCCGCTCTGCGGGGCCGGGCCGGGCGCCCGCTCAGCCAGGCAGCCGGGGAGGGCGGCGGGGCCCAGGGCAGCGGCGGCGGCTCGGGCTCGGGGTCGCGGGAGGCGGTGGAGCGGCTGGTGCGGGAGCACCCGGTGGTGGTGTTCATGAAGGGCAGCCCGGCGCAGCCGCTGTGCGGGTTCAGCAACGCCGTGGTGCAGATCCTGCGGCTGCACGGTGTGGAGGATTACCGCGCCCACGACGTGCTGCAGGACCCCGACCTCCGCCAAGGTCAGCGCCGCGACGGGCCGGGGTCACCCCCGGGCGCCGCCTCCTGCCGGGCCGGCCCGGCTGCGCTGGGGGGACAGGATTCCCTGTGGGAAGGGCCCTCGGGAGGCCGGGGCTGCCTCCACGCCCCTGGGCCCGGGCAGTGTGGGAGCCGCGGGGTGGCCCCTGCCCGCTGGTCCCACCCGTGACGCGGCTCTGCTCGGCTTTGGGTGGGCTGGGTCGCGTTTGGGATCTTTTAAGCAGGAGGCCCAGACCGCGGGGAGAGGGGCGACGGAGCTGGCGAAGGGTCTGGAGCACGCCCTGTGGGGAGCGGCTGAGGGAGCTGGGGGTGTTCGGCCTGGAGCAGAGGAGGCTCAGGGAGAGCCGTACCATTCTCTGCGACTGCCTGAATGGAGGTTGTAGGCAGGTGGGGATCGGTCTCTTGTCCCAGGCAACCAGCGACAGGACAAGAAGACAGTTTTAAGCTGTGCGGAGGCTGAGGGAGGTTTAGGTAGGATATTAGGAGGAATTTCTTCGCAGAAAGGGTGATTTGACACTAGAATGGGCTGCCCAGAGAGGCGGTGGAATCACCGTCCCTGAAAGTGTTCAAGGAAAGACTGGATGTGGCACCAGTGCCGTGGTTGAGTTGACATAGTGGTGTTGGGTCATAGCTTGGACTCGATGATCTCGGAGGTCTTTTCGGACCTGATGGGTTCTGTGATTCTGTCTGTGTGTTAGTGGAATTTGAAGCATATCACAGACATGTTTCATTGAGGTTGCTCTGCCCAGATGCCCAGGTTTGGTTTCTGTGACCCTCCCCATGTCCAAGACATCCTGGTTATCAGCTGAACACAGTTCTGTGTGCAGGGTGACTCTTTGAGATCAGGCTCTTCCTGCCATGCTGCCTTTTCTAGTTCGTAGATACAGAGCTGTGTTAGAGACCCCTGAAATACTTTGTTATCAAGTTTTGTCTTCCCTGTGAACAGCATGGTGAAATTTCACATAGGGCTTGGACTACTTGATTCCCAGCTGGTACTGCCTTCTGGGATTCTTTTGATAAAGCAAAAAGTTCTGCTAATCATTTGCACAAGAAATATTCAGTAATAGTTTCACCATTACTGCTCAAGTGGTACTAGCTATTCTGTATAAGAGTTTTTTGCCAGTTGTGGAAACTCTGTTCTAGTAATGCTTGTCACCTTTCCCTCTTCTGACTGTTGTGGTTCCATGAGGTTATTTGAAAAAGTTTTAAAGCAAAAAAAAACCCACATGTACATAGTAATTAGTTTTGCAGGTGCATGGCATTAACAGTTCTTGTCCAGAATACACTAAAATGTGCTTTAAAGCCACATGCTGGCATGTATCAGGTGACTTTCTTCTGTGTTTTTGGTGTCATCTGACCAATTCAGTCTTTCATTAGCTCTTAGCTGAAAGGCTGATTTTTCCAGTCCTTGTTTGCTTTTCAGTTCACAGGTATAATAGTTGGTATGGTATAAAAGCTTAGTTACTGGAATTTCTGTGTGATGACATCTTTTGTTAGTGAATGTTCGTTTTGTTCAAGTAAATCTTCTACTGCCTTTGGCAGCTGAACAAATTATGGTAGTTTTCTAAACTTTATTTACGTATCTGAATTTATTAATTGTATGGTTTACTAGAACAGACTCATAAACTAAAAAGGAGCAAACAAAACCTTGAAATCAAACCATTAGCGTTTCACTTTTGGTTGAGGGGGCTTTTGTAAGCCCTTGAATGAGCAATGCGTTTGTAAGTTATAGTCTCTGGGGACTTGACTTCGTGAATATATCAGTATTTGTATGTAGCAGGACCATCTTCCTTCTGAGCACTCTAAATTTTTCCTCCCATGAACTCTGGCTTGTGCCAAGTGTTCCAAGAGCTTATTGCCCTCCTGGCTACCAGAGCTTTAAATTGAAATTAGTGTTTGGATCCAAACTGTTTGGCTAAGCGATGAATGGAGTTATGGAGCGTACACTTGCACAATATCCTGCTGGTTCCCAGGTGCTTAAAGAAGTTGTTCTGTTCCCTTCCATGCACCAGCTTTGGCACCTGTCCAGCTGTACCAAGGGCAAGCTCAGTTTATTACCTGGAGCACTGGGCGTGCAAGTTGAACTAGCATTTTGTACTGTGAGCTGAGTGCCAGTCAGCACCAGGAATGGGGCCTTGAAGAGCTGGGGAACAACACAGCCACTTTCAAGGCCAGCAGACTGTTGTACCCCTTAAATTGTATTACTGACTGCACCCTAAAAAGCCTGTAGGTGGCTGCTTCTGTGGATGGCGGTCTCTGTCAGAGGAGAGGACAGGGCTGCTCAAAGCTGTAGTTCTGTAAATTGCCAGGTGTAGTTCAGCAGTGACTGCCTGAAGGCCGGGATCTGGCCTCAGGTGCTCAAAAGTGAACGTGATCTGCACTGCAGGGTAGTGAGAGGATGCAGAGCCTTTAGCTGTGAAAATATCAAAGACATCTACTAGAGACTGATCTGCAAGGAGATTGCTGTATGTGAGCTGGCCATCAGCTTTGTATTCACCTGAACCTAATTTAAAGGTTGGCATTTATCAGTGCTTATACATTTGTAGCAAGAGCAGGCTGTTGGAGAGATGGTGATTCAGACAAGTCTGAAGTACTTGTTGGTTTCTTGCCTGTATCTATTGAAACTCCTTATTTTTAGGTAGTTATAGTTCAATTGCTGGAACATACCCTGCACTAAAATATGGCAGGCTATAAAAGCAGTAAAACTCCCCTACTTGCCTCTTCACCTAAAAGCGTGCTCAGAGCTGTGAAATTAAAGTTACTGGTATTTCATGTGATATATATAAACTCAAGATGAAGAGAAGCTTCCCTGACACAAATCCTTCCTTATTAAAGCTTGGCATGCTCTTGGACTCCATGGCATTTCAGGTTTCTTGAAGCTGGCTCTTCCAGAAGTTATCCATCCTGCTCTCAGCTAATGGACAGCATTAGACTGGTTCAGGTCAGTCTAAGGTGGCGGAGAAGCTTGAGATTATGTACTAGAAAAGCGTGTTTTAAAGTAGTTTAAACTGTTGTGGTGGTTCTCCCTCAGGTTATTTTCACTGTTGCTTCACCAAAGCGTGGGATGCTGCAAAGCAAGTGGTCTTGATACTTCCTCTCACCCTTGGATAGCCTTCCCTTAGTCATACTTGCATTGGAACAGACTGCCCAGGAAGTGGTAGAACTCCACCCCTGCAGTGTTCAAACGGCATGTGGATATGGCACTTGGTGATGGAAAACGATAGTGCTTGATGACCTTAGAGGTCTTTTCTAACCTTAATGATTCTGTGATCTCCATGAAAATGTTTCTTTTCTGGAGAAAGTGTGGTAGGATGGGTGTTGCTTGAGTCAATTCTTTTATGTGGGCATCATTCATTAGGGCTAATGTTGGCAAGAGAGGCTGCAAATTGGTAACTGGAGTTGGGGAAGGGGGTGGGAGCATGCCGTCTACCCTTTTCCATAGTGCTTTGCACCAATCCTGGTTTCACAGTCACCTTAAAGTGTGCTAGCACAGCTGTCAGCTGAACACTGACCTGTGGAGTGAAGTTTCCAGAGCAAACGGTGGTTCAGAGCAGAAGCTCCAGCTTCTGAAGCACAGCAAGGAAACGATCTGTGGAGAGGTGGATGGAGATCCCTTGGGATGTCTGTACTGCCAAAGGAGTCATCACAAACGCACATCCTGAGTGCAGCAGGAGTAGCCAGGGCTAATTGGCTTTAACACTACTGGAGGAGTAACAGTAACTAAGGCAGGATTTGGGTGGCCAGCTGAGGGGGTGTTCAGTTTGTAATCTGATTGAGTCCCGGCACAAAGGCATTTAAAGCAGCTTGTCCAGTACATGGAATGCAGTGCACAAAGCAGTTGAGCTTAACTGTATTCTTGTTTTTATCTGAAGTTGGATAGGTCCTTGAAAGTATTATCAGTGCTTGTGCAGTTGGGTCCTTGAAAATATTTCTATAAAAGAATTATTGGTGTTATCTTGGAATGCTTGTTAGCAGTAGGTTTATTATGTAGAGCCCTCAGTTCTCAATTCACATTTGGCATTGCAATATCTCAAGAAAAACAAACTCTATGTCATATCTGCTCTTTTGAGTAGGGCCATCCTCAAGCACATGCCTTAACGTTGGAACTCAGTTTTTCATTGAAACTTTTATGGATTTAAAGACTTTTAGGACAATTCGAGCAGTTTTGAGTACTCAAAGGCCAAAGAACATTTAGGGAAAGTATTGATAAATACAGGTTGACATCAAAGCTTAAAATTTCTGCAAATTGTACAGCTGAGAGAGGTTTTAATGAAATACTAAGGAAGAAGTTACAAGTGGTGATG